TCAGGCATGCTTACTAAAGACCTATTTTTAATAGGCAGTAATGGTAGAACAACAAAACTACTACTAATAGTAATGGTAATAAAACAAAACTTCTTGTGCTCAAACTTCATGCCAGGCATTGTTTTACATGCTTTATATCTATAATTCTCTGTCAGAGGTGAGTATGCCCATGCAGAGAACATCTGCCATGTCTAGAGACATTTTTGGTCATCACAACTGGAAAGGGTGCTATTTGCATCTAGTAATGCTATAATGCACTAGGACAGCCCCACACAAACACACACACACAAATTATCCAGCCAAAAATGTCAACAGTGCTCAGTTTAAGAAATTCTGCTCTATATTAATTTATTTAATCCTCAAAGCAACCCTGTATTATTATCCTGATTACACAAAAAAAATGAAATAAAATGAAATTAGGATCAAAGAGATTAAATGATTTGCCACAGTAATGGAGCTAAAAGTTGTTTGGTTTTATTTATTTGTTTGTTTAAGCTATCCTTTACAGGAAGGACAGAGCTAAAATTTGAACCCAGAAAATTTAAGAGTCAATGTGCTTACGATTACTGTATGTGTTTATAAGGTTAAATTCACTGGATGCTTACTGTGTGCAAGGCACCGTGCTAAACAACTTATATGCATCATGCCATTTAATCCTCACAACGAAACCATTAGGCAGGTAGTATCATACCCAATTTACAAGAGAGAGGCTAAAGTTTAGCAAAGTTACACCAAATATTATAAAATAAATAAGTGGCAGAGCCAAGACTCAAATCCATTCTGTATTACACCAAGGTCAGTTCTTAACTGCTATGGTGTAACAACACTGAAGATGAATCATGGGTTATCCTTCCAGGACAGAGTCAAATTAGTAAGTGGTTAGACCATGTAGTATGACACAATACTACAAAGTGCCATTCTACAAAGCAAATCAACCTAGTCGTCAATTCTACACCCCCACTTCAAATTCTGGTTCAGTTTCATTAGTTAGAATCTATTGGCAAGACATCATTAAAGAAAGCAAGGATGATAACTTTTTTTCTAAATGTATCAGGTAAAAAGACAGCAAGGTGTCTGCTGTACAAAGACAACTAACACCAAAGCAGACCTCAGGCCCTAGGAAAGGATCAGATGTTAAAACTGGCAAACACAGAATTATAGTAACAAGAAAGAGTTAACTTCAAAGTTCACAGCTTTATTGGCATTATATGATAACTGACATTATAAGCATTCGGAGTTTGAATAAACCACCAAAGTAGTGGAGTTGGCTCATCCTTAAAACTATGGCCTAAGTAGTAACAGCCCAAGCTAACATGTAATTGGCACACACTATATGCCAGGCCCTGTGTATTGTATGCATTATCGCATTAGTTCCTCACAAGGACCCTGTAACGTAGCTGCAATTATAGTCCTTTCTCTTTAGAACAAACTGAGACCCAGATAATCAAATAATTTGCCCAAGGTCACATATCCAGTATTCTTAAATTTGAACCCAGGCAGTATGATCTCTGAGCCCACACTTTTACACTGTATAATGCACTCTACACATTAATTTTTATGCTTTTAATGTGTCATTAATGAAATCTTTAAAAATGCTAGAAACAAAAGTGACTCATCCTTCCAAAATAAAGCAGGAATATGCACTTAGCCATCCTCTACACATTAAAAAAAAAAAAAAAGTTAGCCTCAATGCATATGAATGTCGTTGGAGGAAAAGCAATTTGTCAGCTACAAACTTTTCCATTTATTTTCAGTCTAAAAGTTCATGTTTTCGCGTGCCCAGCTCATACAAACTACAAATAAATTAAAATATTAAAGTTCAGCCTTTCTGTATAATCTACCATGCTCTTCAAAACTGTCTAATAAAGTTAGATTATGCCAACAGATTAAAACTTCTAGTCTTAAAAATTTTACTGAACTATTTCTCTATATCCACTCTTAACTGTATCACAGTCATAAAAATTTAAAATACCATTTAAAATTGTCTAAACTAACACATTATGCAGGACAATAATTGGGAAGTCCACGCATATGGCAATTCCTCAGACAATGCCTTTTAAAACTCTTAACATTTTCCCCTTTAACTCTTGTTTTTTTTTTTTTAATCTTCTTTTTTATTCTTTTGTTTTGTTTTTTCCCCTTTAACTCTTAATACACTGGTTTAACTTCGGATGTCTATGACTCTTGTTTCCCAGTCTATACTATCTTCATTGAGAACAGAAACTGCCTAAGGTTCTCATGCATGTTTAATCACACCAACACTCTCAATATCTTTCCATGTGTAATCAAAGGGCAACAATTAATACTTTTTTACTGTGTTCCCAAAAATGCAACAGTATCATAAATGTGTAAGTTTGCTAAGTAATTTAATTTTTATAGTTGGAAAAGTGCCTATCCTTCTAAAAAGACACTCCAGAATTCTCAGAGGGTGCTCCAAGAAGAAGTAAGAGAAACATAGCCCAAGATGTACTTTTCCGGAAAAGAAAGAAATCCAGCAGCCACTTGTCAGAAAGAATTCTTGAAATGTGGATGAATAAAACCTGTTAGAAATCGGCACTCTAAGAACCCTGAACTCCTTGACACTGTGTGGGGAAATAGTTATTGGTAATACACAAACCTAAATGCTGACCAAAAAAATCTCATTACCTCATTAAAAAAACAGAAAAGTTATCTCCACAGAAAAACATACGTAAAAAGGATTTTATGAGAAATTTAAATAGATCTTAAGAAAGCAAAATATATCAAAAAAGCAAACACCATCCCACAATGTTAAGGAAGATAAACATCATCTATTTCAGTAACTGAAACACCGAATTGTATGTATAATTTTCATTGACCAGTTTTTCCAAGTAGGCCTCACACTATGAAAAAAATCTAAGCTCTTGATTTTGCAATACTCCAAATTGTCACTTGCTGCCTCCCAACTTTAATAAGTAATACATTACATAACTCAAAGACTGTCAACCTTTCCTAGGGGATTCTAATATTCAATAAAATTTAAATTTTAATAACATGGTTTGAAATGATCAAAGACAAATTCCTTTCAATTTTTCTATCTTGAAATGTGCATCTGACCAAACCAATTTTTTTTACCTGTGTTTACATAGACCACTTCTCTTAGACGTTTCTGATTATGCAACATGTTAAGTATACCATAAGATCAACATAATAAAGTTATCTGAGGTCTATCCCAACAAGAGAGAATGTATAACTAATTCAATGTAATAAGTAAGTTCACTTGTCTCCCAACAGTATGCAAAAGCAGTATAATAAACTACATTTCTCTATTCTTCAATAAATGAACCTATAAAGAATGTAAAGAAGAGGCAAACTTTGATCCCATCACTGGCTCATTTTTATCATTTTGACAAATCACCAGGTACAGCTATCTGAAAAACCTTAAAATCTAAAGTTGTAATCTTTTTGAATAAAAGTGGCCCATTTCAGGACTGATTGTGTGGCACAATCAGAGGAATCATCACTCCTAAAAGTCTCTCCCATTAAACTCTGCTACTATCACTGGAATATGAAGTATGTATTGTAAAATAACAGTGATAATGACGATGATGATGAAGAATCATTACGGTAATATATAACCAGTAAACAGATGAATGAAAAGAAAACTTAGTGGGGAAAAAGTCTAACTAAACTTAAAAATTACTATTTAAAATAATCTTTACACAACACCTTTTGTGCTGTAAATTCAGAAACGTAAGTATGCTAGGATAGCAAAGTTTCTGGTTGACTCACACGTCGCTCTATCACAAACATACCTTATTCTACAAATATTTTCACAGAGCCAAACATTTCATTCAGGAATCAAAAAATGAATAATTGAGGTGTAGTTCTGTTAGAGCTTAATCATTTTGGCAAAGGGAAGACAAGTTCGACCCCCAAAATACTAACCACAACAATCTACTGTTTAAATACTCCCTGTGGAGTTTACTGCATTTTCTAAATTTAGCCTAAAATAAATAAAGTTAATATTTAGAGAAGGCTCAGTAATCGATTATTCTTTTTAAATTAAGTATCTCTACATATAATGAAGACTTAGGACCAGGATATTAACGCAGTGTTGCCACTTAACATTAATCCATGAACATATTCTACGCGTGACCACTGAAAAGCACTAATAACCACCCCAATCTAAAGTCTCTAGGAATTGGCATTTAAAAGCCCAAAGAAGGAAAAAGGTCACCTGACCCGGCAACACATTGCTGAAGAAAAGAGACACAGAACTGTGCGCGGTACCAACATTTCTCCCTTTCTACTCTCCGCACCGCCCCCGCCCCGTGTCAGGTGATCGCTTATTTAGCACCATTAACACGTACGTATCGACAAGTGGTTCATTAAATTATGTGTATCATCGGAAGGCAACAGTCTAGGCTTCTCATTTCAAACTAAGCAAAAGGAGTCGATAGTTTGCGTCCCGGGCACAAAAGCGCGCGGTAACTGGAGGATAAAAGGAGCAGCAACTCCCATCTCCAAAAAGCAGCGGCAGGCAGCAGTCTCCCAGCCAGGGCCGGTGCCAGTTTCCCGAAACCAGGGCCCAAAGCTCCGAGCTAGGGCTCCCTGCGAGGAACGAGGCCCTAAGGCCGGATCCCGGGGCCTGCGAGCCGAGCCTTCCAGGCAGAGCCCGCCGTGTCTCGGGCCTGAGCGCCCGCACCTCCGTGGCGGCGGGGCGCACTCCCAGCAGACGGCTGGGTACCAGTGGTCGGGAGAGGCCGCGGTCCCAACCCTCCGCCTGGCGACCGCGCCGCTGCGGCTCCCTCACCAGCCCGCCGTCCAAACGGTCCACAGGCGGCAGAGGCGCGGCCCAGGTAGGCCGAGGACGTTGCGCAAGAGGCCCGACAGGCGATCCCTAGGCTGCGCGGGAGAAAGGCGCGGAGAGTCCGCCGCGGGAGGGGCGGAGAGGCCCGCGGAGGCGTCGTGCGAGTGGAAGGGGATGGGGGAGGGGAGGATTGCCCGTCTCCCTGGCCGCGGCCACAGCCGCAACTCACCCAGCTCCGCCAGACGAGCGCTACCACTGGCAGCAAGAGGAAGATGGTGGACGCTGCCGCCGCCGAAGAGGAGGAGGAGGGGGCCCGGTGGGTGCCGCGGAGAGGGGGTACGCGCAGGACGTCGGCGTCGCTGCCACAGCCTCTTTTCCTCCAGGGACGGAACGGCTGCTGCTGACGACACTATGCCTGGCTTCCGCGCCGCCCTCCTAATCCTCGTTGCAGCCGCCGCCGCCCTGGGCCCGAAGGTCGCTTGCCTCGTGGGGAACGTGCGGCGGCGCGAGACCCCGCAGCCATCGGCGTGCGGCGGCGGCGGCGGCGCGAGAGCTGTAGAGGGGCCGCGTCACGTGACCCCACTGTTTACCGTTCCGGGGGCCGCGGCCTGCGTCGCTGCCGCGCCTGCGCGCTGTGGGGCCTCCAGCGCCGCGCCGCCTTGGGGCCCAGGGCTGCAGCACTCCCCGGCGCTTCCGCCCCCCTCCCTGTCTTCCGAGGACGCGGCACCGCCTGCGGGCCTGTAGCTCGCACCTCCGGGCGGCCGGGAGGGGCGAATCAGATGAGCGCTTTTTCTCGACTGTAATAAGCACTAAGGCTTCACAGCTAATATAATATTGATGTGCAGCTCCCCCCCCAAAGGTGCTTTTTATCAATTAATTGACTGTGAGTTCAAGAATGGTAGACTAGGATGGAGTAGATGAGCCCTCTGCCCAAATCTGTGCTGGCTCGTCACAACAGCCTCCCCATTAACTACCTCCCGTTACTCTCACCCCACATAAAAATTTTCTAAAATGGTCTACCTCAGGACTCAAATCGCTTCCTCCAAGAAACATTATTGGTATCCAGTAAAGCAGTCTTCAGAATATTGTCCCGGGATTCGCTGAGGGGTGCCCAAGACCTTTCAGAAGAGCCTCCATTCCTTTGCCAAAAGCGTGTGTGTAAGGCCGAATTTTCTTCCCACCCTACAACCAAACCAGCATACAGCAACTGATTCAATGCAGAAACAGATATGAGAATCCAACCATCTTCTATTAAGCCAAAAATCGAGGAAATTTGCAGAAATTTTAAACATCACTCTTTTTATTAATTTGTTGGAAAATATACTTTTCATAATAAATACATTGTCTGTAGTAACAAATACCGTGTGGGAGTCCAGAGACAAAAACGTTTCTGACCCACTGGTCAAGGTTACATGCTTCCACAGCCACTTAAGCTAACCCCTGCCTCAGCCCTTAATAAGCACTGTGAAGTAAGTGTTGCCTGTCAGTCACTCCAACCAAAAGGAGCTCCTTAGGGACAGGATTTGTGGCTTTTATCTGCAGGGACCATTACAGTATTCAGCCAGTACCTGCTGAGCACCTTACTGTGTGGTCTGCACTGTTCTAAAATCTTTACAGTACTTGCTGATTTAAGCTTTAGACCAACCGCAGTCCACACTGTAAGATTAGTGCAGGGTGGAAGAATAAGTCACAGGCATGTGGTGAAGACCTGTTCTTTCTCTCTCTAGTCTTCTGATATTTTAAGCACTCCCAATACCAAATGTTCTACAAAGGAGGTCTGAGTTGTCCTGATGTCACTGGATTCCTAGAGTTCCACCCCATGTCTTGACATCAATCCCTCAGGACTTTGTTTTACAATCTTTTTGTAATGTGTTTTTGAGAAAGGAAAATAGATATGAGTAATTTTTTTTAATGATCACTTGGGATGTCTGGGATGAATTATAAAAATAAGCCTAATTTTATCTTTACTCTTCTGGTGGATCTCAGTATGACATTGCAAAAGGGCATTCAGAAAGAATAAAATTATGGTTATAAACAAAATCCTGAAGGAATTCAATAGAGTAGAACTTGGTAGGGGAAACCACTAGCTGGAAAATCCCTTAGAAGTGTTGAGGAAAACTTACCTTCTCAGAGAAGTGACAGAGACAACAAACAACAAAATATCTCAAACTCATTTTACTGAGATCATCATTGAATTTGGAGGCTTAAGTTAAAACACTTTTTCTTACGTTGGCAGGCTTGCTCCCTTCCCCACATTTCCGTTTCTCCAGAAAGATGGCCCACAGGTACTCGAGCTTTCAGCAGTAAACAGTGGGTGAAAAGAAGTGCAAGCCCCACCCCGGGGGTGAAAATTTCCATAGCATACCAGGGTTGAGGGAATGGGGCCTAGGAAGGCTGAGTCAAACCATAAAATAAAGCTTTCCCGTGCATCAGGACTGCCTCAAGCTATAAAGCACCTTGCAAATTTCAGCAACTCTAAGGCCCAGGAAAAGAGCAGAGAGAGACCTGAGGCATCAGATTTCTAAGCTCCTCTGCCTTACTCTCCCTGCCAAAACATTTCATTTATTTGCTCATTTGTTTATTCATTTATTCCAGTATGCACCCCAATAGGTTTCAGAAATACATGGTATTGTTCCTGCCCTCAAAGAACTCAGAGGAGTGGCAGTAGATACTTAGGATTCAGCCTGGTGTGAAAGCAGCTGGTGTAGAAGACCCATATTTGTGTTTTATCTGGCCTGGAGTGGGCATGGGGGCATTTGTGACAGAGGGATGTCCTCAAGGTCAAAGATGTACCAGAGAACTTGGTGTGTTTCAGGAACTACAAATGATTCATTATCTGAATTGAACATGTTGCAGCCCTGAAAACAATGAAATTTCTTTTTTTTTTCCTCTTCTTTTTTCGGTTTTTTGTTTGTTTATTTTATTTTTTTATTTTATTTGAAACTTCTTTTAACAAAGAAACTATTTGCAATTATGTCTCTCAGTAACGATATTACTTTCCTACTTGAAATCTTTTCATAGTTCTCCAGAGCATAAAGATTAAAATCCAGGCCAGACGCAGTGGCTCATGCCTGTGATCCCAGCACTTTGGGAGGCCAAAGCAGGCGGATGACCTGAGGTCAAGAGTTTGATACCAGCCTGGCCAACAAGAGGAAATCCCGTCTCTACTAAAAATACAAAAATTAGCTGAGCATGGTGGCACACACCTGTAATCCCAGCTACTAGGGAGGCTGAGACAGGAGAATCACTTGAACCCAGGAGGCAGAGGTTGCCATGAGCTGAGATCACACCACTGCACTCCAGTCTGGGCTACAGAGCAAGACTCCATCTCAAAAAATAAATAAATAAATAAATAAAAATAAAATCCAAGCAAAGTAATCAGTGCCCTTTAGGATTGGTCCTTGCCAACTCTTCACTCTCTTCTCTCCCTATTTCCTGCTTTTCAATTTATGATATAACAATGCTAACTACTTACTCTTTTCTACACACATCCACACAATGTCCCTGAACCTAAAGTTTTTGCTCATGCTGCTTCTTCTGACAGGAATGCCCCCTCCCGAATGACCCCAAAAGCCACACAATTCCTCCTCTCACTTTATCTGAATTGTTCCCTCATCCTTTAAAGATGGATCTCAATGATGTATCCATCACACTTAACGGTGAAACGCTAGAGGCATCCCCACTCAAGCCAGGGTTACACAAGGCTGCCACTATCACCACCATCATTTAACATTAGCCAATACTAAAAGGCAGGAAAAGAAATAGTAGATATAGGAAAGGAAAGAACACAAAAGATTGTTATTTGCATATAATAAAAACTGCCTAACAGAATCAACCAAACAACTGCTAGCAGTAAGGAGTTGCCTTGATACTACTTAAAAATCAGTTATTTAAAAATCAGTGAAAAAATAATGGCTTTCCCATAAACAGCAATCATCAGTAGAGTACAGTAGGGAAAATAAATTCCAACCAAAATATAAAATATTTAAGCAGCATAACAAGGAAAAAATGTGCATTTTTATATGCACACAAAAAGAAAACTACATATAAAGAAACAACCCAGTATAGCCAAAACAATATTGAAAAAGAAGTGGAAAGTTAGAGAACACACACTTTCTGATTTCAAAACTTATAATGAAGTAACAGTAATCAAGATAGTGTGGTACCGGCATAAAGGCAGACATATACATCAATGGAATAAAATGGAAAGTTCAGCAATAAAACCATGCATCTATTTTCGAAAGACTTTGGACAAGAGTGCCAAGAATACAACGGGAAAAGAATAGTCTTTTCAACATACAGTACTGGGACTACTGATTAGCCACATACAAAAGAATGGAGTTGGACCCCCACCTGAAACTATGTACAAAAATTACCTGAAAATGAATCTTCCAGACTCCAGTTAAGACAAAGAGGCGAAGGGCACCTGATGAGGGATAGCGAAATACAACTTTTATCTGGTTAAACACTGGTTTTCCTGTTGCTAAAGCAATTGTTTGTACTCTGAGCCCATTCAGAGTCAGATTCATAAGATATGAATGAAAGGAAGTTTATGCTGCATGCACCTAGACCCAGAAAGTGGAGAAGCAAAAGGAAGGATCCCTAGCTTAAAGGCACTGTGAAGGTTAGAGCCCTCCCTACTCCAGGCAGAAGACTAACAAGGAGGCAGTTAAGTGTTCCCAGCAGTTTGCATTCCTGAGCTAGGTGCCCACTCGTAAGCCTTTTTAATTACGTCACTAAAAACCAATAACTTGTTTGTATTATGTGTTTAAATTCCAACCATAACAGAAGAAAAAAGTTATAAAATCTTCTGTACAACTTAATGTTTACAGAGAGAGAGGCTCAAGAAAACGTAAAATTTGCTTGGAGGATCAAGGCTTTACAAGGATATTTTTTTCAGGAAGTCGTGCCAATAGAAATATGTAGAAAACTAGGTTGATCAAAAATTGGAATTCAGAAATCCTCTTTGGATTTGGAAAGATTGGAAGGGAGGGCCATAGAAGAGGATTTCGTCAAACTAAAGGAGATACTAGGAATTGAAAAGGTGAAATTGTGTGATAGCAGACAACCAGGGAAGTCAGATGAGAACATTCTAGGAGAAGATAAAGCTAATTCCAAGACACTATAGTAATAAGAAATTTTGCGTGTTCTAGAAGCAGAAAGTAGGCTAGTGTGACTGGAGCATAGGGTGTAAGAAAGATGAGAGACTAGCAAGAACAAGACAAAATATTTAGAATCTGTTATAAATAAAATGAGAAGCTATGGTGGGATTAAAAGCAAAAAGTGACATCTGATATTTTTTAGTAACCGTTATTACTGAGGTATAATTCACATACCATATAATTCGCCCATTTAAAGTGTACCATT